AGATGGCATGTTGAAGATTAATGGAAGAGCATGTGTTCCTAATGTTGATAACTTGAGGAAAGAGATCCTAGATGAAGCTCATTCTTCTGCTTATGCTATGCACCCAGGAGCAACTAAAATGTATCACACGATCAAACCATATTTTTGGTGGCGTGGGATGAAAAAGGAAGCGGCTGAACATGTTTTCACATGTCTAGTATGTCAGAAAGTTAAGGCAGAACATCAAGCTCCTGTGGGAAAACTGCAACCACTTCCAATTCCAGAATGGAAGTGGGAAAGAATCACAATGGATTTTGTATATGGTCTCCCACCATCAAGGGGAAAAGATGCAGTATGGGTTATTGTGGACCGACTAACCAAATCGGCTCACTTTTTACCCATTAGGTGGAAACCATCACTGGAGACTTTGTCTCAACTATATATTAAGGAGATCGTCAGATTGCATGGTGTGCCAATTTCTATTGTCTCTGATCGAGACCCGAGCTTCACATCTCGGTTTTGGCAAAGTTTACATGATGCCTTGGGAACTAAACTGCATTTTACTTCAGCTTATCATCCTCAAACAGATGGGCAGAGTGAACGAACCATCCTAACTTTGGAGGAACTACTTCGATCATGTGTAATGCAATGGGAGGAATCATGGATTGACCATTTGCCCCTGATTGAGTTTGCTTACAACAATCAGTACCATAGTAGTTTGGGTGTTCCACCATATGAAGCACTTTATGGGAGGAAATGTAGAACACCATTATGTTGGGATGTAGAAGGAGCAAGGCAAATCTCAGGGCCAGAGATAGTTCAGATCACAGTTGATAAGGTCAAGGAAATCAGGGAGCGGTTGAGGGTGGCTCAAGATCGACAGAAAGTTTATGTTGACACGAGTAGGCGTGAAGTTAATTTCGAAGTGGGTGAGAAAGTATTTCTCAAAGTGTCACCATGGAAAGGGGTGATGAGATTTGGTAAGAAAGGGAAACTTGCACCTCGGTATATTGGGCCATATGAAATCACAGAGAAGATTGGACCAGTGGCTTATAAGTTAGCATTGCCTCCAGAACTATCCCAAATCCACAATGTATTTCATGTTAGTATGCTGAAGAAGTACAAAGTGGATCCTTCCCATGTTATACAACCGGAAGAGATCGAGTTGGGTTCAGATTTGACTTTTGAGGAGGTTCCAGTTGAGATTATTGATTTTCAGATTAAGAATCTTCGTAGGAAGGAAATCCCAATGTTGAAAGTGGTTTGGAGAAATCAAGAAAGTGAGAGTGCTACCTGGGAAACTGAAGCAAGTATGCGAGAGAAGTACCCTGAGTTAGTAGCAACCTACTTTGCAGGTTAACAATCTTGCTTAATAAGTTATGTTTTGAACTTGTTGATGTGCTTTTGTTGTGATAGCCCAGTATAGGTTTTTGAAACCTAAACATGGGAACTTGAGGTGTTATATGTTACTTTCTATGTTATGAATTGCCTGACCTAAGAGTTAGGTAATAACTTTATGTATGATAGATCATGTTAAGGGTTAGTAAGAGGAGTTAGAGTACGACTCAAGGTTAGATTTCGGGGACGAAATCTTTTAAGGAGGGGAGAATTGTAACATCCCGTTCCGGCAAAACCCATTTTTCGATCGCTAGAAAGTTCGCGATTTAAAATCGAGCATTTCGACACTATTTCGGCGAAAATCGGATTATTGATCGATCGGATAAGTATACGTATTATATATATATATATATATATATATCCTGTACATTTAAATCCGAGCACCGTTTCATTTCCCATCTTCTTCTTTCTTTCTTCACGTATCGGGAGAAAAACAGACGAGCAAGAGGCGCACAGAGCATCGCCAGGAGAATTTCCAAAGCTCAAATTCTTGAGCTACAGTGATCCAAAAATCCCGTAAGTAATGCCTAATTCATCCATTCATCGTGATTTATCGATTTAGAGCTTTAAAACGAGTTTTTGGTTCAGGAATTTCTTGAATTTCCGATCTGCCAAATTAGGGTTTCGGAGTATCCGGAAGCCGGATTGAGCCCAAATTTCCTATACGAGCTTCCTGCAGCGAGGTAATCAATCCTCTAGTTCTAATCCCTGAATTTCGGCAATTATTTAGGCCGGGGTCCAAACCGCTGAATTTAGCTCCGGCCAGGGTTTGATGTGTTTTTATCGAGAATTTGACCCGGAGCCCAGAACTAATATTGACGGGGATACTGCAGGGGATATTAGGACGGTCTCGGATTTTAATTCGGGGTTCGTTCGAGAAATTGACGTTTTAGTACGGGAAGGTTAAACCGGTGTTTGAACGACCAGAACTGGTGAGGGATTAGCACGGCATATCGGGTTTGTCGTATCACGATAATTATATTGATGCTTAGAATTGATCTAGGCGAACTAGAATGGCATGATTAGGGGTGTATGGACTTTTGTGCTATATGTTGAACCCTGGATTGCTGTATGATATTATTGACTTGCCCTAATCGATATAAACCTTGTTTATGCTGATGATTGTGTATATGTTGCAAATTGTGGGCTTGACTATTAATATGCTTTACGATGGTTCGAGAAGGTGATTAGGTATGATTTTTCATGATTGTTGTATTTGGATGCACAAGTGGGGAAATATATATTCCCTGGTGATATTATGATGTTTAAGGAGGATGACTTGCACGAGGGTTTATCCCGAGGAAGTGCAATTATACGACTCCTAATTTACCTATGTTGAGCCAATTATGGCCAGGTCAAGTACATGTGCAAGTAACGAATTATGATTAAACAAGATGAGATATGAATCATGCATAAGGATACCAATTATGAGTGTTGTGGTCTCACGGTCAACTACATAGTAATTAGGGCTCCCTATGCTATTACTCTATTATGATATGATAGTCACACCTCTCATGTGGTGGGGACTGAAGAATTCTTACGAGATATGACCACACCCAGAGCGGTGTCGGGGTATGACTACACCCATAGTGGTGTGGGGTATGTATGACCACATCCGACGGGATGTTGGGGTATGTATGACTACATCCGACGGGATGTGGGGTATGTTTCCCGGGAGAGCTATTAGCATGGGAGTAGCCAGGCGCCTATAAGTAAAACATGATAAGATGCATATGCATAAGTCAAGGTGGTTGAGTCTTTTGCTTATTGGGATATGAGGATGGCTGAGGTCCGATCCTAGTGTTTTGGCTTGATTGTTAGATGTATGGTAGGGGTATGCTCTGTTATGAACTCACGATGCTATGATTATCTCACTCAGCTATGAGCTGACCCTCTTTTATTCCTTCTTCTCTGCTTATGCTATGTGTAAGCAGATCATCAGCAGCAGCAGTAGATAAGTGTTAGGTGGGAGAGGAGCTAGAGTTGAAGCCAGGATGAGGTATGGTCTTCAACTATTCTGTGCTTGGACTACTACTCGGGATTTTGGCCAGTGATCCACACCTTTTTGTAAAAATGTTTTGAGAACGTTTTTCATATGCATACTAGCTTCTGATGTAGTGTGAGATATCCACAGGTGTGGAAAGTTAATGATATGTGTATATTTATGTGGTTGTATAAGTTCGGTATGCAGTTGTGTAGTATGAAACTGTGACTATGGCTATGTAAGTCCATGTATATGGTTTGAGTATATATGTTTGTGATGAATTATTTTGCAGGACAAGTTGCAAGAACTGTTAGCCCATTACGCGAGTAATTCATGTCGAAATTTTATTTAGGTAAATTTTGATAATTAATGTAACACCCGAAATTATTTCCGCTGCAATTGTATGAACAATATGATTAGGCAAAACGTATAGGGTAGGGTGTTATATTTGCTGTGAATTGCAGTGTTTGTGTTTCTTAGGTTCGGATAATGCATCTTCCCTAGTTATGCAGGAGGCAAGAACAGTGGATAAGGAAGCAGAATCTTCTAGCAGACAGCTTTCCAGAACTGGTGATTGAGAAAGAAGATTGGATTAACAGCCAAAGGAGTATAAGAGAGCAAGGGAAGTTTATGCAAGGATGAAATGAAAGAAGCACCTGTTCACCTATTGGCAGAACCTTGTATTTATCTGGCCTAGGGAAGAGGTTGTCGTTTTTAAGTTATTATGTTTAGAAGACTACTTTTCCATTAAGTCGTACCTTGCATAATTTGCTCCATGGTGCGTAGTTTTTGAGTGGAAAGATTCATGACAATTCATTTGTTGTCTTTATCTCTATGTTGTTAGCTTACACAGTACAAAATTGAAGTTGTGTAAAATGTTATATTTGATCTGTTCTGCAGTAGCGCTGTGCAATTGGATATGTTTTGCAGCAGTGGTGTTGACTGTTGAAGAGCAATGAAACTCTTATCTCCGATTATGTCTGTGGCTGGTCTGTGGCTGGATATCCTAAATGAAATTTCTGTGAGTATAAAGCCTAAAACACCTCATATAATCTAATTTTGTAGGTCAAGATGATCAAGCTTGTTTGCTGGTGGAGAGAGAGGAGGAAGTTAAATAGTAGGTACAGGAGACAATGAGGGATTGGTGACAGCATTGGGATAGTGATTGTGCATGAACTAGTGGCAGCTGTGGTAGGGGACTTAAGGCTGTATGAAATTGATGTTTGGCATAGCTCGTTGATAAACTAAGTTAGATTCTTCTATTGGAATGTAAACTCCTATACCCAGCAGCAGCCAATGAATATAATACTTCTTCTACTATCTGTCATATTCTCCCTTTCAATTAGTTAACCCCATTATTGCAATACCCTCTATACAGTACTAAACAGTAAACAAGTCTCACTTTCTGTTGGTCTCTGAGGACAGTTCCTATAATTATGTCCTGGATTCTTGCAGTACTTACAATGTCTTGCCTTTCTGCTGGTTGGATTCGGGTTAGAAGAACCTTTAGTTTTCACAACTCGAGGATCCTTGACTACAACTCTACTTGTACTAGCTTGTTCATATGTGTCCTTACCATGTGCACAACCACTCTTAGTTGTGTCCTTCATTTTCTGCCAAATCTGCTCAGCCGAAATGATCAACTTCTCCACATCATTTTCACCATTTGATATCGTTCATTTGTCTGTGAAGCATAATGATAAAGTTTCCCACAGAAACCACTCAAGGTTCCGCACCTAATCACAGTATTAACTTCAGGATTGTCCAGCTTTACATTCACATCCTTTTTTGCATCCTTACACCACCGTTTCAGTACCAAATCACGTGGTAACAGACTAATATTGTTGAATTTCATAACAAAGAAACAATGACAACAAGGTATGCCTTTAGTCTCAAACAACTGACAAGAACACCTGATATCTCGAACTGCAGGATAATAAGTGACTCTCCACTTTGAGTTAGGATCAGAATATTGAGACAGGGAATAAGAAACTCTTCCACTTTCTGTCACAGCGGATGTACTATATAGAAGTGGCTCTCTTTTCATTTGCTTTCGAACCTTGAAAAACATATCTCGAGTAAAGAGCTCAGCAGCATGTTTCTCAAGACTCAATAAATGACCATCACAAACCGGAGTTGAGTCATTACTTACATGATCATTGTGCAGCTCCTCGTACCTCAGTCGTCGTAGACCTCTGTGAAACTGTTCAACAAATTCAAATAGCTTTAGGCGACTTGTCAGAAATCTCTTCAACACTGAATGCATAGCTTCACACCGATGTGTACTCTTCATTCCACATGTGAACTTCCCAACCAAGAATGCATGTGCCCATCGACTACGTATCCTATACATCTTGGACACCCACTCATTACAATGCAGATTAAGCTTCTCAACAGTGCTTCTCCACAACTCTTCAAAAATCTCAACTTCTTTGATTTTGTTAGCACATATCAAATACATTCTTGAATTCCTCTCCCTGAACATTCGAACTCACATTCCTACTCAAGTGCCAACTACATAACCTATGATGAACCTCTGGCATCACAGCTTTGATGGCTTTTCTCCTCGATTTATCTCCATCAGTTAGAACAAGTTTTGGCTTTTTTCCTTTCATTGCCTCTAGAAACTTGTCCAATAGCCATTTGTAACTGAAAAACGATTCATCTTTTAACAAAGCACAACCAAACACAGTTGTTGAATGATGATGATTTGCACCCACCAGCACCACCAATGGCATTTTATAAGCATTAGTCTTGTATGTGGTATAAACACCAAGACATCACCAAAGCAGGCATAATCTTGGCAACAGTTACCATCTGCCCAGAATAAATGCCCCAGTTCGCTTTCTTCATTAACGGTTAATCTACAATAAAACCCAGGGTCACTTTCAGCTTTAGCACGCAAGTAGGCTAATGCACCTTCAGCATCACCATCACCATTACAAATTGTTGCCCTGCGATCAGCATCAACAAAATTATACAGATCTTTCGTTGTTTAACCGACATAACTATAACCACCCGTTTGGTTGACCATCAAATCCATCACATGACTGGTTCTGATGCCTACGGCTTTCAAAGATTTGATTTGAGCCTTGTCTGTCTCTTTCACTTTTCTGTGACCACAGAGAAATTGTGCCTTTTCTAGAGATACCAAACGATGATTGTGACTTGCATGGAACTCCCTCACAACATACTTTTTCAGCTTACGGCAAAAATTTACCCTGAAAGCAGCCCGATAACTGATCCTTGTAATTGGCTTTGGTTCCCTCTTTCTGCCTTGTCTCTGAGTATGCTGCTTCATTCGAACCCCTTGTTTATAGCATACCACCCTCCTTAATCTAACCATCCCATTTTTTAAGTACTTCAAATCATCTTTACAAGCACTAAAGCCCATACACTTACTGTATACAGTATAAAACTGTTCAGCATCTTGTACAGTATCAAACTGCAGTCCAATAATATCATCTCTGTCCCAATCTTCAATGTCTTTGGATATATTGATATTCAAGCAAGAGAAGTCAAGATCATTACCCGCAACATTGTGAGTTGAATGATGATTTTCATCTCCAATATCATCAGGCATAGCATTTGGTGAGGGAATCCTACTACCAGAACTCATTTCAAAATCAAAATCTCCTTTCAAATGATCCAATTTCCTCTAGGAATTCTATCCCTTGAATCCTGTAAGAATGCAATTTAACACATAATTAGAAATTACATTATATAGATTCCGGAAACAATAAAATGAAAAAATAAGAAATATACAAACACTCTCCAAGAATGCAGTAAGAGAATGATCACATAAAAGCAATAAAGAAAGATACAAACACTATGCAGCAAACCTATGAGAAATCAGGAAATGAATGAGATGATTCTTTTAGATACCACCCATTTCATTGGCTATTATGAGCTCATTTGACAACACTAATCATTGAAATCCATGTCCATGAACACTAGTTGACAATTGGTGTGCATATCCTAGAGATGGGAAATTTTGGATGCGGACCAAAAGATACACATCAGAATGTTCATCAGCTATGCACTTTGATTGGGATGCTAATGTGCTCTGGATGACGTAATATTCTTTTTCTACATAGGTAAACTTTTTCCGGCCAGTTCCGAAGGAGTATCTACATTCTGCTGAGTTGAGAGACATAATGCAATTTGGCAGTAGCAACACGATTGTTTTCTTCAAGATGAGAGTTGCTGGTGTTCTTCACATTTTTCAGTTTGAGACCAAATAGGTTTAGTTTACTTTTGGAGCCTTCTTTCTGTGGTTCTTTGGGTTATTGCTAATCACTCATGTGATGAACTTGATCCTTCTTTTGTACAGGTCTCAAATGCATATCTGCAGCTCTTAAAAGGGCCCAATGCAAGAATGTCACTTGAATTTGTCAAAGAAATGCCGAAACCTGACACTAACTTCCGGTTGGATCTATCATCTCTTCTGGGCACACTCTTTTTTACATGGGTCATTCTACAGCTATTCCCTGTAAGTCCTAAACTGATAGCTTATATAATCGCGTATTCTCTGCAATAGAAATTTCTTAGTGTGACCAAAATGTTTTGATATGACAGACATTCATGTAAAAGAATGAAACCTTGGTTTCTATACATTGTGAAACTTGGTTAAATAATTATCACTTCATAGCTGGTTTCTGATGTAGCACCATTATCCTTCTCTGTTTTATGCTTTTGCTTGTGAAAAATAACTACTGATATTGTGGGAGGTAGTTTGGAGGCATCTGCTGGTTTTGTAGCCTTAATCCACTACTAAAAAGATTAAAAGAGATAGATTTTTTCTATAGTGTCTGAGATGAGGTTCTAGTTTAATGCTTTAGCTTTGTGATTTTGGACGTTGACACGTCACAAGTTCAGTACTCCCGGATGTATCATCACTTATAAATATAAAGCAGGAGCCAGCGGCAAGAATAAAAAAGTGAAAACATAGAATGGATGGAGGTATGGCCAGGACTTAGCCTTGGAATTTGTTTCTTACTAACTTTGCTTTAGTAAGTGGTTCTCTAATGTTTTATATTAGTCAGAGGACCCATTAAAGAAAGGCCATACAGTTTAGTACATGATAATTAAACTGCCAATTGCTTTCTTAAATTTTAAGCTTCAAGCATGGATCATGTCCATTATGATAGCCAGTTCCCCTGCTTTGGTTGTGTCATATAATAAGATAAGAGCAAGGGGCATTGTACTATCTAACAAGTGTGATAAATATATCTTGTAATAGATGTATTATAAAGTTTTAATTAATGAATCCACAGAATATTTGAATTGGTTATAAATGATTTTTTACTCGTATTCATATTGGTTATATTAATATTTTTATGCATTTGATGTAGGTGATTTTGACAGCATTGGTATATGAGAAGCAGCAAAGACTAAGGATTATGATGAAAATGCATGGGCTGGGTGATGGACCTTATTGGATGATTTCATATGCATACTTCTTCGCAATATCATTGTTGTATATGTTGGTTTTCGTGATATTTGGTTCAGTTATAGGTAACTTTCAAACTGTTAATGCCATCTATATTTCATCCCTTGCTGTTACTTACTGCGTCAGATTTAATGCAGGTTTGAAGAAATCTGTGTTGCCCTTCAAACACACATAAACGATGTCATGTTACGTCGATATTCCAAAGCTCTCTCTGCTACTGGTAGCTTAATGAATGGAGATCTTTCTAATAATTCAAAACCACCTGTGAATGTTGAGATTTATGAAAAGCGTATACATGATTTATCCAAAAGTATTGAGGAATTTCAGAGAAATACTGATCAGGTAACGTTCATAAAAATGTATTGGTTAAGATTGTTTTGAAGAATGGTGATATTAAGACAGATTATCCAATGATCATTACAGTTAGTTCAAGAATTGCATGTCAGGCAAGAGCAAGAGCTAAAACTGCAAGATGAATTGGAGGGGTTGAGAGATTCATCGAGGTCTGAGCAGCAGAACTCAACAGCTCTCACAGTTGATCGTGATAGACTTAGATCCTTGTGTGGTGAAAAGGACAAAGCTCTGCAGGTAAACATGGTAACTACAAGGTTATTATCTTCCTCTTAATGGCGTTTTAATTTTGTTTCTTCTCTATGTAATGTCTTAGACTGCACTGTTGGACAAGAGGAACATGGAAACAAAGTTGTCCAGTCTTGGTGATCTAGGATCAAGCAAAGCGAGTATGATTGCAAGTAATTATCAGGTAAAACTGAAAGCAGAAGTTTTGGCTCCATCTTGGTTGTTCTGGTTGGTGCAATTATTGGTTACATGGTGTAACCACTTACAACTGTTATTCATGATTCAGAAGGAATCTCTGAAGCTGCAAGAAGAACTAAAATCACAACAGGAGGAACTGCATACATTGCAAGAAAATCTAGAAAAGCTCATAAATGAAAATATGCTTTTAGATGAAAAGATCTCCAGGCTTGAGAAGAAGAAAATTGACGAGTTTAAAAGCTATCTAGATTCTTTAAATTGTGTTGCTTTCCTCAGTTCTATTTGCTGCAGTTGTCACTTAATAGTATTTTTCTCCACAGATTGAAGTTCTTGAAAGAAACTTTGATCAGGAAAGGAAAGCATTAAAGCTCCGTATTAATGAATTGGAAAAGAAGCTCGAAGTTGCTACCCATGATTTGACTATTGCTAAGTCCACTATGTCAAATAGGGAGGCAGATTACTCTGCCCTGCAGAATAATTTGAAAGAATTGGAGGACCTAAGAGAAATGAAAGAGGTATAATCCTGTGCTGGTTTTGTTGTCTTATTTCTTGATTACTTTGAAGCATTTCTTATGAAGTTCGATTTTTTCCTTTCCAGGACATCGATAGAAAGAATGAGCAGACTGCTGCTATATTGAAAATGCAAGGGGCGCAACTAGCTGAGATGGAGGCGCTTTACAAGGAAGAACAAGTGTTGCGCAAGCGGTACTTTAACATGATTGAAGGTGCCAATGCAAAAGTTATCCATACTGCCAAGGTTTCTAATACTTTACCATGCCACCCATCACCAAAAAGTGACATTCAAGACCGAGGACATGTATCGAGCATCAAGAGTAAATTAACCAGTATCTTCTGTGGCATGAGAACCTTTATTGGCTTGAAACAAAACCCAATAGCTCATATAGGTAGTGTGACTCTATCCTCTGCAAAGTTACATCCCCGACAAAGACAAAGGGGTTCAAAAAATATTTATGATCCTTCCCCAGAATCCCCAAACAAATAAGTAAATCCTCAAAAGCTTGGGGTGGTTTCAGCAGACAAATTGCTGCCTCCGAGCACGGCTTAACTCATGTCAATTCCGGGCCAAACTGAACTTATTTCTAGTAGGTAATTATATGAAACGAACCATAATATTGCTAAATCGAAACAATTACTTAAGAAGCATGGGAACAATCGGAGACAATCCTGAAGAAGCAATAAGATTACAACAAACCTGAACTTGCTTTCGGTTTCAGCCACCAATAAGTCCAGCGGTG